ATTAAAGACGCTTATTACTTAGTCCGTGATGTCGATTAAGGTCACGGATTAGGGTCGTCGATGGTTTTTTATGCAACGTCATAATTATTGCGCTAGCTTTTTTCCACAGCTTGGAGTGTGTGACTTATTTTACATAAAAAAAAAACAAAGACGATACAAAACTTGATATAAAGATACAACTATTTTCCGTTGTTTGTTTTTGATTGTTTACACGAAGTCAAATCAGTCTATGCATCCTTAACCCTTGTATGAACCCTAGTGAACATAAGTGTGAAGGAAGGGACACAAATCAAACAACACAAACACTTTCATTTAGAATTAATTTGGTTATCAGCAAATGTACCCAAACTAATGAACCTAGTATTACCGATAAATCCTGTTTCTTAGTATGTCAATTTATATTCTAGGCTTACGTAAAAACTTAGTGTAAGTAAAGATCGTAAGTTACGTTAGATTAGGTAAGGCTCTATTGCGGCGCGCTGTTGTTAAAATACGCGATACTATCTCGAAAATTGCATTTGATAAACAAAAGAACGTCTAACAAAGAATTAGTTGCGCTCACTTCAATATTGTAAGACGAAATTGGTAAGTAATTTTGTAACTTTTTAATAAGTACAAAATTAAATTATCAAACACTATTTTTTGCCGTCACCGTATGTCACTTTTTCCCCAGTTTTATTTGAATGTTAACGCGATAATAATAAGAACAATAATTTGAGCGGATATATCTAGATTAGAAGAACAACAAACCACCCTTGTTTCTAGAAATTATCTAAAATTCTTCGTAAAATTTAGGTCACACATATCCTGCGAGTTTTTAGTAACTTTTATTTTCAGAACAAAGTATTCTAAATTTAAAATTCGTCTACCAACACTGGCAAGTTCACACCAAAATTTCGGGTTTCGGTCGCGTTATACGCGCTGCTCCGCGGTGACCGCGTGTTGTACTGGCTCGACTTTGCCGATGCTGCAAGCGCCCCGCTATTACGAGTAAATTCATAACAAACGTAATACATTATGAACGGCATGTAATGAACCTGTCGTATAGGGCTGGACCCGTCTTGTAGGTTGTAACGCGATGGAATTTTCTATGGCATCCTGACAAAAACAACATTTGATTAGATGACGTCCTTTGAACGTTGATTTCAATATTTTTATTATTTATTTCAGAAAACGCAAGCTACGCTAATTCGTTAAAATATATTTAGATGTTTTTTTGCACCAGCCGTGGTCACTACTGATGATTTGGCTTTACTTTTGTTTTTGAAAAAAGAAAGAAAATTCAAAATGAGTCAAAAGGAAGCCCGTAGATAAATTAATAATAGTTTGCATTTAAAAACTTTATTAATTTTTACTTGTTATTGCACATGAAGGCACTATGTAATTCAAAAATCGAAAAAAAAATTAATTTTTCAATTTATTTTCGATTTTTAAATTATATAGATATTAAAAACTATTTAGTTTGCATTGCAAACATTTTTAATATAATGAAGATATAACTTGGCAAATGCAAAGAAAAAAATAAAAAGACCGTCAAACCTAAATAACCTAAATCTAGTAAGTGGGTTAGCTTTTTTATAAATCGTTTGATTTCATATAATTACTATTTTGGTTCGAAAAAAATAGATTGCTATTTAGGGATCAGTTTTACATCTGGTCGTTAAGGCCCGGCGCCAGTGCTAAGTGCCAGGGCTTTCGCTTTCTATAGTATTTTCTTACGAACCGAGCCTACTTTAACAAAGTGCATAATGGATGTTGGTTTTCTAACAGGCACTTTTGAATATTAGTTATTATATATAGTAATATTACTTTTCGTTTTTATAAATTTAAAACTATATATTAGACTGAGAAAATAAATAACATAGGTTGATCTCGAATCTGTGAAACTTTTTCCTGCCATGGTACTACCCCGTACTAATCCCGTATTGTTATAGTGGGTTAGAGTTTTATTATACGTCGTTTTTTTTAACCAAAAATATTTTTCATAAATATGTATTATTCACTTTATTTCCGGTGTTACGCAAAATTTTAAGTAGTTTTTAAAATTTAATTGCACTGATAATTTACCGGATTACCATACAAACAACTCAAAAGATTATATGTTATATTTTTGTCGCTTAATAGAAAGAAGTAAATAGAAATATATTGTTCAACAACTCTTAACAAGGAATTATACCCTTAATTTGTTATTGCTTCAATAATGGGGCAAAAATTAGCACGACCGTTGAAATTACAAATGTCCTTTTATACAATTATAAATACAAAAATAATAAGGAATTTTTACACTTTTTTGACTAAATTGAGGTCAAAGCAATGTTTAATTTCCCGTCGTGGTTATCATTTTTGCATAATTAAGGCTCACTTTCAGAAAATAATTGGTCATTTTTACAGATAAAAGGAATTCTCATGATTGCTTTTCAATTACGAATATGTAAATATTTTTTATTATATTACTACTCAGTAAAACTTTACAAAGTTACTATAGGATGCAGTTAATCAAACAACATTTCTAACTGAATACATGTTATATTTTCCTGAATCTCTAAGGAGATTAGCGAAGACAAATTCGCGTTAACATTAAAATCCATCTTATATAACGTAAGGCGTACGTGAGCGCTCGCGCATTGTTGGCCTCAATGTGAAATACGCTGACCACGCAACCTCACAGGTTTGTGTTGCGAATGTATTGGATTCGCTCCATACTCTACGTAAGGCTGTGGTCTCATGGTTCCTTAGATCGTGTTCAGCGTCAAGCCTTATGTTACTATTAAGAACCAGAGAACTTACTGCGAATGAGTTTTAAGTCAACAAAGGGCCAGATATAATCTGAGTAAGGTCCTGTTCCACGAACTAGCATCACACGACATTATTTTATACTATTAAGAATAAATAAGGTGTTTTTTTATATTTAGTTATAAGTTTTTTACTACCATAAGTGTGGCTTATGGTAGTAAAAAATATTCCTCTCTCTATTTGTCAAACGTACTGTTGTCTCTTTCATTCGTGTGTATTTTTTAATATTTTAAATTATATAAGTATGACGCTGTTTTATCTAGATGTATATCGCGTTTAAAAGTATGCATTTTGACGCGGAGTAACGCGTTACGCTGTACGCTGTCCACATGCTTATAGCAGACCGCAGCCTAACTATGTCACATATGGCAGGGCTGTGCGCTGAATTGTGATATGGCAGTAGGTCAGTGCGTCCTATTATTTGGCGAGTTACGTAACGCGTAACATGTGTTGACGGGTTCAGTGCTTCCTTGTGCGCACGTAGCGAGTGTTAAGTGAGAAATGTTGAGCCTAATACGTACTACGGAAATACCAATGTTGCTCAATTCGGAGTTTGCGAGATTGGACCCAGATTACTATTAACATTTTGCTATTACCAACGGTTTTATTAAGAAAAGCTTTATCTAAGTATCATTGAGGTTTATAATTTTTGCATTACTCTAATATGTATAATCTATACTAATATTGTACAGATATTAGTATAGATTATTTATTATATTGTTTGTTTGAACGCGCTAATCTTAAGAACTACTGGTTCGAATTGAAAAATGATTTTTGTGATAGAGCGTGCACGATGCGACTAATACGAGCAAGAAACAGTGAGAAATGTGTAAAATAATTCTTCTTTGTGGGTTTCCGTTACGTACAGCTAAAATATATTAACCAATTTTAATGCCAAAATAACTATAGTGAATATATTTGCTGGCCATGTCAAACGTGTTGTCGAATCAACCAAAACTAAATTATTACATATTACAGTAAACATTTGAACTACATTTCTACAAAATACTTATTTAAAAAAGAGGTTTGATGCCGAGAAAACGTTTTTTTTTTATTTCCGTAAGAAATAAGCTATATTTGTTTATCCATGCGTAGTACTTTCATCTCATGTTCTAATATCGTTAAATATCTACTTGTCATTCGATAGCAATCACTCAGTATTATACTTAGAGCGCCGGTCTTATAATAATAATTGTATAATCTAGGAAATGCGGAGTTGATTGCATGATGCATCTTAAACCAGTTGATTATGTATGCTATTTGAAATTACAAGCTATAACTTACTGATATATTCGATAAGAAATTTTGTGTATCCTAATTACTCATGACTTTTAGCTTTTAATAAACAAAATACATGTATTGGAGGTGGAAGAAAATGGGGGTGTACTTCCGAAAAGCGAATACCGCCGATCGGTCTGAAATTTGGTATTTTTATGTATTATGACCTCCTAGTCACGAATATCAAAGAAAATTGGCGCAAACGCCATTTTTAATATGAAAATCGAAAAAAAACCTCTTTTCGTTCAATTTAAATGTTGGAGTGAATGTAAAATTTCTGAGCTTTTTCTACATGCTAAAATACGACTGCTGGATGATTCGTAAGATCTATAATAGATTTTTTTCCATATTTCTAGAATTTTAGAACAATCGAAATCATTGTTCCTCATTATGTATTACTCTAGCATTCTAGCGGCACAAGTGTACAACGCTGTGCCTCTAAAAATTTACCACTCAATTTTATTATGCGATACCAGCTTAAACTTGTAGATGTCGCTTGTATCATTTTTTGTAGTAACATCTCACAGAAGTAGATGGCGTTATAACATTTATTAAAAAAAAAAAACAAGATCTAATGACTAGAATAGACTAAGATTTTAACTTATTATCATCATTCTAACTAGAAGGATGAAGAAGGTATTATTCTAAAAATAATATAGTTTTTTTTACGTAGCAATAAGTCTTAACGACAAATTTTTGAGACTAGTAAAGTGCGTGCAATAATTTTATTTTTAACATGTTACTTCATCAGGATGTATAAACAAAAAAAGACATATAATTTTAACTTTTATTATAAAGATTATGCTATTATATACATACTTAACAATAATTGTTTTGTAATAAACAATGTAAAGTACTTTGTGACATAAATATTTTTATTACTTAATTTAAACTAATGAACAGTTTTGTTATCACCGCACTCATCACTGTCATAACACAAGCCAGTCTTCTTTGATCATATCTGAGGCTTTCTCAGCGATCATAATCACGGGAGCGTTTGGATTACCACTTATAATTGTAGGCATGATACTAGCATCTACCACTCTTAGATTGGCAACACCGTGCACACGCAACCTCTCATCAACGACAGCACTCTGATCATATTTTGGACCCATTTTACAAGTGCTAGTTGGGTGGTATATTGTAAAAGTGAAATGTTTCAAACTACACTCCCAATATTCGTCACTAAACAGGGGATGCTGTTGACAGCCAGGAAGGGGAATTGTATGTGGACGCGAGCCGTACCGCTGAAACGCCGTCGTGTTGGATAGGGCAAACGCTATCTTTATCCCCTCAGTTAACACTTCTATGTCTTCCTTATATGCAAAGTAATTTGGCTCTATAGACGGTGGCTGAAATGGATTTCGACTTTTTAATTTCACCCACCCGGAGCTTTTTGGACGCAACAGTAGCGGCAGTATCGTCCACGTTTCAGCACTTTCGATCGGCTTGTACACCGTATTATATACTCTATCTCGTAAATTGAGAATTTTACGGATTTGTTCCCCACCGTCTGAGTTCACTGAACTAGGTGCAAAGTGAAATTGTATATCGGGCCAATTACCTGATGTCGGGGCGTATTTGGTATTAACAAACGCCAATCCTTCTACACCTTGCGTTGTTAGCGGGCCCTTTTCGTGTAGAATGTAGTCCATTGCGACAGAGAACGATTGAAATCGGTCCTTCTTAAATGTAACCGGTTTATTTACAACGAACGTTAAGCCACCCAGTCCAACGTGGTCTTGTAAGTTATGGCCGACCTTTAAATTAGCAATCAATGGTATATTGTGTTCTTTCAGATGTTCCGCTGGTCCGATTCCGCTTAACATTAGAATTTGGGGACTCGCAAGTGCCCCCGCCGACATTATAACTTCGCGCTTTATTCTCACTTTATGGCGTTCTCCGTTACGGTAAAACTCCACACCATATGCTTGTTTCTTGACCGGATTTATCAATATTCTACTAACGTGGGAGCCCAAAGCGACATGCAAATTCTCCCGATGACGAACCGGTCTAATAAAAGCTTTGGCTGTGCTGCATCTACTTCCACGGCGCATAGTCGCTTGGGTCAACATGAAACCAGTTTGTTTTGCGCCGTTAATATCGCGAAATTCGTAACCCAGTTCCATGCCACCTTTTAAAAACGTTACTGATAGCGGTGTTCGCCACGGAGCTTCCTGTACCGTTAGGTATCCACCTGTTCCGTGATATGGATTGTTTGCCAAGTACGGATTTCGGTTATCCTCTGATTTGACAAAATACGGTAAGACTTGATCGTATGACCATCCTGGATTACCTAGCGCCTCCCATAGATCATAGTCGTTTCTATTGCCGCGGACGTAAACCATGGCGTTAAGGACGCTGCATCCGCCTAAGACTTTTCCACGTGGCCAATTACACCGATCGCCGTTCATCGCTAAGCAATATGAACGGTTATGGGAAGGTGTTGTTTGAAATTTCCAATCCATTTCGGACATCTGTGTGTAGCCAGCTAAGGCTGGTATGTCGGAGATTTCGTTCTCATCTTGACCAGCTTCTAAGAGTAGCACTGTCCAGTTGCCGATCTCTGATAGACGTGATGCCACTACGGCGCCGGCAGAACCCCCGCCGACTATTACAAAATCGTAGATCGGCAAGATCTGGAATTATAAATATAAAATATATACCTATGTGTTTTATCTTTAAAAGTCATTTTAAATCCCTACTGTAGCTAGTTAGGCTTGCCAAGCACGAAGCAATAGCGATAAAAAAGGCAGAAATTATTTGTCTCATTAATAGTAAAACAGTATTGTAGATGATAAATATATGCGCCTTTTTTAGAGCTTATATCGAAGATTATAATGATAAAATAATCGAAATTATATATTTCGAAAAAAGCTTTTTCAATAGATTAAATGAAAAACAATGAACTTAACAACACTATGGTACTATAAAATGGGAACTTACAGCGTTTACATCTGTTATGTAAGACTCTGGGTCGAATTGCTGATATCTGAAATACGTAATCCCCAGAGCTAGGAGTGGTATTAGACCCAGCACGGTAATGGGTGACGGCGCCAAACTTGCCAATGCTCCAGCTGCTTCCATGATTATTTCCCCAATACATTTACTAGATCCCTAATATTTACAACTTATGCTACAAGAATCTTTAAATTTATATCCAGTTATCTACTTTTTTTCTCTGCTCCTCCACAGATATTATTTTCGGCGTGTAGTTTCGGATGCCGGCCTTCTTTGGCGTCGGGCCCGCTTTGAGCTGAGCTTTCTCCGTATCACTGAGATAGCTCTTAATACGCTCACTTTTTATTTCTTCGTTTTCACCGAACAAGTGTTTATAGCGTTTGTCTTTCGGTATTTTTACAGGTCGATACAGTTCCTTGGTAATATGTTTGTAATGATCGTTCTTGTACAGAGGAATACAATAGTAATTGCTCTTTGAATACCTATCAGATTGACGTTCATATGCGCTCGAGCCGCTTCTGTAGCCGCTGCTTTCTGTGGAAGAGTTGTCGCTTTTAAAGCTATCGGTGCTTCTTCGTGATTTTCGATATTTGTTTCTGTCTCTTTCGTAATCGCTCGATCGGGGCAAATCGATAGATGAGGCTCTACTGAGTCCGTTTGCGTAATTGTTATCTTCATAGCGTCTTACTGGCGCAACACTTGCGTGTGCAAGTGACTGTTCTTGACCCATGCTGCAGGCGGCGATAGTGAGCTGCGCGTATGAGTGAGGTCCCTGGAAACAATATTATATGGTTTAATTATACTATATTGCCATATTACAAATATGGAAAAATTAATACATATATTAAATACATTTTGTTTGAATCGAAAGGTTTTTTTTTTTAATATTACTATTGCTAGATATTAAAAATTATATTTGATACTGCTGGAACTTTTTCTAAACTTTAAAAGAGAAGAATGTGAGACATGCCTATAGATATTGAGGTGCATCGAAGACAAACAAACTTTCACTAACAATTCTAAAGCTATTTGGCTCGCGTAATTCTATTTACCAACCATCTAACCATTATTTGTTTGGTATAAGTTTTTGAGTTTGTTTTGTTTGATAGTTTTTTTTTATCTTTGGTTTTATATTTTGTTGATAAATGATACATGAAAATGGTAGGAACTTCGTGGATGTTGCTATTCGATACAAACTTTCCACGAACCTGTTTGATAGTTCCTATACACCCCGTTTGCATGTATACCCATTTTAATTACTTCCATTACATACATTATTCCTGAGCACAAGTTATTTTTACCTGTTGTAGTAGGTAAGTCGTAAAAAGTTCTTGTCTACCTAAATATCAAATAATTGGCGTAGGCGCTGCATTAATTAGCCTAAAAATAATAATTGTAAAAAAAACATTATATAACTTTCTTTTTAACTATAACACCACTAACTGGACACTATATTACAAAAACGTAATTTTTCAAAACTATTGTAAATAAATCATATATGCTCAAAACAAAACACTATTTATTTATGTTGATTTATGAATATCGTTACTGTGTTAGTATCCACCTTTGCAAGTTTGTAGAAAAGCAAAGTGCTGTAGCAAATCCACTTGCCTTTGCATAAAAACAACTGTACAGGCGTGGTAATCGTGTATTGTTTCGTCTTCATTGTCCACTTAGTTGGAATAAAAAAAGAGTCAAGCAATTATCCTAACCGTTACTAAATATTGCAATAAAGCTCAAGGATTTTCTTATAATATTTTGTTTGTATACTTTTATGTTTTTTTATTCATATAAGACTTTGTTGTTTAGCTGTGCATCTGATGTACTAAAGTACTAAAGGAAACTACTGGTAATTTTGAATATAACTTGCGCACTCGCAAAATTAATATATCCGGTTTTTAATTAACATTTTCAAAGTTCTCAAATTCTCAGTTTCTAACGCAATTATAAGTAGTTACTAACAATTCTTTAATGACATATGATTAGTTAATGCCAATCATCATATTATTAATTTGGTAACATACATATATATATTTTAAAGCGTTTTTTATCATTTACTAACTTAATTTTATTAAATTTATTATTACTTTTCTATTACTTATTAACTAAAAATATAACGTAGATTCCTTAACATTTGTATTTATGCGATGTAGTAATTAAGGTGCCTTTTCTGCACGTGTCTTATAGCCACACAGCACCTCATCAGTAATTCGATCAAATCATGACCAACTACATTTGTGAACGTCCGAACCAATAAGTGGGACGATGGTTTCAATTCGGTGAGCCTACGTGAGCGAGTCGTCGTCTGCTTTCTGCTTATCAAAACAAACCTCACTTTTCAAGGTCATAGAATCTAAAATGCCTTGCCTTTGAACTCCAGGACATATTATTATATATAATTGTGGTGGAGTAGCGGCTATCTGCCACAGAGAAAGCTAAAGACAGCAAGTTATGTTTTATTGACTCGATGGTTAGAGCTCAGTGAATTGTGTAACATGTCAAAATATAGACGACACTTTCGGTTTTTATTTGTATATGACGGAAGTTGCAGGTGATAAACAATTCATACACGATACAGAGGAAATTATTGCCCGTGTTCATCTTAAATTCTACATCAATCACATAGATCTATACATAACAAGACATTTTGATTTGAATAGCAAATCTAAAAAAAACTGTCCGTAGTTTGTGCGAGTAGTAAACATTTAAATAAAACAATTTAAGGGTTTAAAGCGCGATATATTTTATTTAAAAATATTTTAACTACTTCCCGACTTTTCGGATGCTTTGCAGCATCCATGGTCCCGGTGGCCACGTAGTGTTTTATTTAAAAATCGTTTTTTTTTAATTTTTAACAGTTTGGTACAATTGAGTACATTTCTAGTAATAGAACACCTTTCTATAAAGTACAAGCAGACGTTGGTAAAATTATTTCTACTGGCATCATTTTAAGTATTTTAAAAGAAATTCTCATCAAAAACCACAACCATCCTTTTAGTAGGAAGTGTATGAAGTAATTAAAACGGTTCGGTACCGCTAATGGCGTAGTAGCGCTGCTAAAGGAATCTGGGCGAACCGGTGAGGAAATCTATCCCTACAGGGAATTGACCTGCCTTCCTACTACAAATATACCTGTGAAAGCTATCTATTTGTTTATATTATCCTCAGTTAAAGCTCTCGAGTCTTAAATGTTAATAGTTTATCTATGTTATTGAAACGTAGATAGTTTTCTGTTTGAAGAACTTGTTGATGTAAAAAAAAAATCAAGATAAAGACGATAGATCAATAATAATTTCTAGGTGGAAAAGGTTTAGAACGTCAAATCTGACTATACTAATAGTAGAATAATAATTAGATATCTAAGACTTGTAATTGTTAAAATTGAGACTAATGAACTCTTCATTGTGAGGTGTTCTTTATAACAGTCGAAAGGAGCTATAGATGAAGAAACGCCACCAAACCAAATAAAGGTTTGGCATAAGCTTGGCTTATGCACCTCACATCCGAATTATATAACACTTGATTAAGGTCATGTTGAATAAGATTTATTTGGGCTAATGTACTGACAACTTTCCACTACAATTAATTCTATGATGTACCCGAGAACGCTTCACTGAATACATTATTCTTAACTGTTGTGCAACCAGGTTATGCATGTAAATAGAAGAATTAAATAAAAAACTCGCACTTCCAGCTTACAAGATTTGCATGCAGTTATTTTTTATCAACACTAGGCTTATGATCACATCATTTTTATTTAGTTAGATCTTTCTATTTCCATCTGTATATATTTAGTAATACCGATATTCAATGACTAGTTTAGTATTCCCGACGTTGGTCTCGATTGTTCTGATAAGACATGGTATAAGATCTTGTGACTGTTCCTGCGCGAGTTGTATTTTCATAGCGCTATATTATTATATGTTACTTTCAATTGCTGGTCGACCTACTAAGATCTAGAATAGTAGCTACTTATATTTTACTTATTAGTAGATGCTCTATATCAGTAAATTGAAATCGCCTAAGTTTTGAAGCAGTAGAATAATTTAATTGTGTTCGATTTTTAATATTTACCTGAAGTCCATAGTTACGAAAGAAGTATACGCCTTCACGGAAGCTCTCACTCGGTCCACCTCAAGTTAAACACCGCTTCTAACATTAATCTCTAGTTACCTCGCCCTCTTCACTTTCATTCACTCAACAAAATTCCGAAAAGAACCGTTTCGTGCTAAAAAACGTTTTCGATTTATATTTAAAAATGGAATAACGTTCGTAGAAAGTCGTAAGTGTTCCGGTACTTTCTTTAGACGCGTGCGGTGTGTCGCTTTGGTGGTGACTTTGTGACGATCACTCAATGAGCTGGTTAGACCGCGGTCACTCTACGAAGATAATATTCATCTTAAATTCATATTTGGAAACTTAATTGCGGTATTGCGAAGTGTATATGTACCAATGTAGATTCAAATTAACGTAATGTTTTATGAAATAATATTTATTTTGTCCGGCCTTGACTCGTCTTCCTTTCTGATTGTTAGGCACATATTTTATTTGGTCCTAATGCCGGTTGGATGGTCTGTTTAGTATATTCATGGGTTAATGATGCGCTTTTAACAATTCAGAGGGAAGTTATATTGTTATACGATTTTGAACCCTAATGATTACTAAATAAAAGTCACTGTTTTAAAGACTAGTTTTTAAACGTTCGTAATGTTTACTTGCATTTTCTTATATTAATTCGAATTGTATTTAAAAACATGTCACAAGATTTATTAAAACACTGAAATTATGAATGTTTTATTTCATTTTAAGATCCTACTAACTAAACGTAATTTACTCGTAGGTAACTGCTGCCACCTTTTACATGTGAAGAAAAACGTGTAGACTATGTGAAAGTAATGTCTGACTGTATTGCTTAAACCGCCCAGACTGGTTTTACGCTTTAGCTTATCATATGTATGCAACAGATGGCGTTGATAACATTATTTGAGAGATTTCTCCAAAAATTTTCACATTTAATTAACAGAATGCTTTAGAGGGCGAAATATATGAATTAACTTATCTACAATGTATTTTTTATCTACAGCCCGACGTTTTTGGTGCTTAGTAGCAGCAGTGGACACAGGGTATTGTAAATTAGATAACCAATATATTTTGCGTTTTAAACCGTAAAAATGTTGTAAAAGTGTTCCTCCACTATTTAAATATTTAATAATGTTAATAATTAATGAATTACTTTTGCGTGTTTCGAATAAAAAGTAGAATATAAAAGAAGATGTAAATATGAGGTAAAATTTTATAAGCGCGCGTTTGATTTGTTTTACTTTTACAACACAATTAAAAAAAAAACACATATGATGGTTTCTTTGTTAATTCTTAAGGTTCTGTTTAGCCCAAAACTCTTCTTTGGATGTACCTAATTTTTAATATAGTGACAAAAATGCGTTAATAATAACAAGAAGATTTACCTCATGATCGTAAGAGTAAATGTAAATCAATAAGGAGAAATCGCTTTAATTTTATGTTACGTAACGGCGTAATATGGAACAGAACTGTATGATAGAGTTATTACACGAATCGTATAAAATAATGTTTTCTGGTGCACTATTCCGATTTGAGCTAGTCTTCGTGTTTAAGACGCGTTGGGACCAAAATTCAGCAATGGCGTTAGTCACCTTTGCACAGAAATTTACCTTTTTTAAATAATTGATTTTAAAGTTAAACAGACAACGCACATTGAATTTTGATTTTGTAAAAGCAATTAAGAGATTTATTAAAATGTATTTATATCTCAAATACACTGTAAACTCTCTATAACGACTTGGAATTCGTTATAAAGAGTTTCCAATGCAATCGTAAGCATTTTTCATAATTGTAGGGTTTTAACGTAAACCAACCGAATTGTAATCTTGTTCCATGCCCCTAAAAATAAATATATTATAAAGCTGAAAAGATTGTTTGTTTAAACGCGCTCATCTCAGGAACTACTATATCGAATGAAAATAATATTTTGTTGGTTAGAACATTTATTGAGGAAGACTATAAAACATCGCGCTGCTATCAATAGCAA